CGCTGAGTCTCCACACCTAACTTTCAGTAACCGGCAGCTTAACTCTGGCGCCGAGTGCAGCAGATGGCAGCAGCCAACAAGCAGAGGAGCAAAAAGGCAGAGATTGCAAAGGTGAGCGGTCGACGGTCTGCTGTCGCTGGTCCGGACACAGGACACCCTTTCGCCCTGACTCAAAATTCCAGCAAATAAAAGATATTCCAACACAACCTAAGGACGACAACTATGTCGCCACGTTTGGATCGAACCAAGCCTGTGGCCGACTCGTGCACCTTGACCTGCCATCGCGAAAGATAGCATGGTCTATAGTTTCGGCGTCAGCTTGTCCGACGTTACCAATGTCTTTAACAAGGATTCTCTCGGAAGTAGTGGGTTTCTGAAGTTTTGGGTGCTTCAAAACAGAGTTGGCGCTGCTTTTACTTTGCATGAGTTGAAAATTACACAGGATCTTTAGTGCGTCAGGGTTTTCGTCTTCGGTTTCGTGGTGGGGGCCTTGGGCAGGTCGCCGGGCTGTAGCAATTTGGGTCTTCAACAGGTATGGGTCCAAATTGTAAGCCCTACGGGATTGGGGTTTGCTTCATTTCGTCGCCCTTCACCAGTATTTTTTATGTGACTACTACCATAGATGGAGGAAATCTTGCACCACCCAGATGCTGATTCATGACATCGACCATCACCAAAACCCCACACGCCCTATTCAACATTTGTGTTATTAGGCATGTGGGTGGTGCAAAATATCTGTCAGTGGAACCCACGGCCCTTCCCAGGACTGGACATCAATGTTAGACAGGGGCGCGAGTTACTCCATCATCAGTATTGCTCCCATTGTGAAGTAAAATGTTTATCATTGTCCTTACAAGCACTGTTTACGGAACAGGGAAAGAGTGAGAGGAGTCAATACTAGACGTGCTAACAGCAGTAACAAGAATAACGATGACCAGCATGTTTATCATCCTAATGCAGCTGCGTACCAGGAATGCTATTGCAATATTGAGCGGCCCACATGGCGACAATAATCCTTAACTTTGAACTGACAGCTCGAAATTGCAGCCGAAGTGTTGGCAACCAGAGTCGTCGCATCAACGCAAACGCTGATAGAAGTGCCAGGTGCATTCTGATATTCCTCACCAAAGAGTCAAGGTGTACTGCTCAAATCACGCCGTAGCATCGACATGAAGAACAGCTCCAGCATCTGCAGCTTCCACGACTCCAGTCGATGTGAAGTGCAAGGCTTGTTTTGTCCAGCTCGGGGTGTTTCTGCTTTCGACACTGGTGAGAAAAGTGTGGCACGCGGCAGAGTATGGACCTCGGGATTGTCATACCTGGGGCCACATGGTTGCGGATGTCTCTTTGGGGTATCGGCTTGGGTGTGAGGCACTCTTCGATGTCATTCTGTCAACTTCAGGGGTTAAGGTACAAGGTTTCCCAGAAGCTGCGGATCCATCAGGAACGGATTGGGCCTCTTCCTCATTGCAGCATTCTTGCAGGGGGCCACCCGGCCAGCTTCAGCGGAAATGTCAGGATTGAAATAAGAGCTCGAACCAGCGCCGGGTGCAGAGACAAGGATGAGTAGTCTGTGGTCTCAGGATGGACGGTTCGGCATATCACTGCACATTCCACTGCAGTTCGAACATTTACAAAACAACATGCCGCTTAATTCCAGCGTAGGGGCTCGTGTCTCAGGGTTTAGGGATCCTTGTTGCCGAAGAGATGCTAGGCCTGGTTGAGCGTGGTTTGGAGTTTGTGTGCCTCTTGGAGCTTAGGAATTGGGGTATCGGACTTGGTCACGCCAGCCAGGGGTCTGGGTGTTTGCGGCTGCTTCGAAATAGGTTGGAGCGAATGAGGTCGTTGGGATATAAAACTTTCCCCGGAGAAGTAACTCATGTCAGTTGATGATAGTAATAGCATAGCTGGACTTAGAATTAGGAACGGCCGGCTCAAGATAGCTGGACTTAGAAATAGGAGTGGACACACACACACACGGCATGCACACGTGGATAGTGACATCGCCATCGGCCATAGTGCTTATGTCCTGTTCTGTGCGATCGCTCATGCCTCAGCTTTGATGTTCGGAAGCAGCAACACCTGGACTCATAATCACAGGCGTATTGAAGTAGGTTATGCACCCGCCCAGCCTTGGTGTCAAGCATTGACACACGCTGGAAGTCGGATTCAACCTTGCAGGTACTGGTTGCCTTGATTATCTTGTTCTCCAACGAGCGCATGCAGGCACCTGGTGGAATGGCTACTTGAAAGGCTTTGGGCGTGCGGAGCCCCTGTAACCCGTTCCACGACCTCCCCGGGTCGGTAAACATGGATTCGTTAGACAAACCGGGCGTTATGTTTTCTGATTTCCCGTCGACTTTGACCTCGAAATCTTGTTTGATGGAGTACCTATACTGGCGAAAGTGCGTTCGTCCAACCGTTTAAACCGTGTTGGACATGTACGCACGAGGCTGCCAATCGGTGTATTGGTTTTTGGCTTGGGGTACGACATGTTTCAAGGTAATTCCAGATTTGCCTTCCTGAAGAAGGGTGTCACGCAGAGTAGAAGAGTCCGTAGGCAAGCTGGAAAGCCTGAAGCTCTGCACCTTCTCATCCCGAACTCCCGGCACACCCGAAGCACCTTGCACATCAAACGTTGCTAGCTTCGACCCTCAATTGCAGGGCCCTGGTTTCAAAGCAGAGGTCTTGTGTCCTGATATAGCCTGATTCCTTGGGCAATTCAGCGTCCTCGGCCTGCAAACTCATGACTACGGTGGTCAAACCAATCGCCACGGAAGAGTCGCAATGCTTTTTGATTGTGATTGCGTGATCGCGCCCAACTATCACGTCCGTTTGTTAGATGTTAGAGACCTTGTCATCTCATACCTGTGAGAGCAATATTATATCGGGCACAGGCCGCGCCTCTTAATCCCTTCCAGGTTTGCAAACAAACGCAATGCCCATGTAGGCATTAGTGGAAGGCAGTAACAAAACGTCCTCGGCACAATACCACTATGCAACCCAAGAAACCCTGCACAAGGGTTAACCTACCCCAGGTTTCTAGAGCACGCCATCTGAACCACTACTGTATGTTGAGCTGCTATAGCAAGCCATTTATAAAACCCCTTGACATTGAAACAGCAACTCTGTAAAGTTATCAGCACGAAACCCCTGTAGACCTTTGCTCCAGTCGCAGGATCCTTACGAGCATTATCGCTCTGCCTCCATGGCACAGCTTCTTCGGCAGGTCGGACTCTTCAGCGCGGCAGAGGGAAAGCAAGAATGTTTTTGGTGGGTTTTTCTCCAAAGGTGTACTCGCCTCGGGAGTTGAAGCTTGGATATTCGTGCCTTCGGTGGCGATGCTTGGGGATTTCACCAGCTTCAGGGGGCTTTGCCACTTTGCTTCGTGTGTCGCCCAGCTGGCAGATAAGGCTTGGGGGGATCCGAGATACGCCCGCTGCCGATGTGAGGGGCCCTGAGTGCCCCTGAGACCTTAAGTCGCAGGCCATGGCCACCAACTCGAGCCTCCCGGACTCAGATCCAGTCTCCAAGCTCTGTCACCCGGCCTCGCTAGCTTGATAATAACCTCATGTGGTTTTGAGATTTCAGTTTTTGGAACTTTAGGGTTGGGGGTTTGGGAAGTTAGGGTTTATGATATCTACGATGTCGTGTTCGGGAGTTTAGGAGTTCATTGAAGCTGGAGGAACTTTGAAGGTTGTGGAGTTTGGCTTTAGATTTTTTTTAGCTGAAGCGAGCCAAGCTGCTCTTCGGCACATTCGACTGCGTATGGAATCCTTAAGCCCTGCACTTCTCTTGCCTTGGGGCCGTTTCAGGCTGCGCAGTTTTGTAGTTGTCGGATATTGATACGAGTACTCAACATAAAGGTTACAGGCTCCAAAGGTTTCGGGCAACCCGATTTGGGTCCTCCGGGCCCAGTAGCGCACCAGAAGCCCGGCGATGGAAGCCCTACACATTTGTGCCGTGTCCCCAAAGTTGATCCCTGACCTGCCGTCCATCGGCTATGGGATGAAGGATAAGCGAGGGCGAACGCACTCCAGGTGCAAGGTCGGATGTGTCGTTCTCACGGATCTGAGGTAGCAGGCTACTTGCGGCAGTTAATTGATCTTAGAGGGTCGTTCCGGGCTACTTACGTCCTAGGCTTTGATGTGCGGCTTGGGCTCACGGGACACGTGGGAGGAAACGGGATTTGCCGACATGCTGAGGTCGACATGGTATGTTTGATACATGTTTAAGCATTGGAGCCTGGCGGTTTTGGTCCTTGGATATTTGTAACATCCCTAAATCAAGACAGTCGCCTGAGTCGACACTGAGGCTTAAGCGACCACAGTGTTCCGTGGTCTCAGCACTCGGCCTGCAATGCGTTCCTGCTCTTAGTTCTGACATGTTGCGCCGTGCACTGGCACCGAACACACAAGGCTTCCGGAAGCAAGGATTGAATGTGACATTTGCTGGACATGGCTATGCTTGCTCAAGGATTCAGTCGAAGATTCGCAGACAGAAACATTTTCAAGAGACCACAAGCCGTGGTGATTCAGGCAGTGCCGGGTGCAGTTAGCCATGGCGACGCAGGGGACTGCAGCAGTAGCAGCCTCATGCACAAACACAGCTATCTGTTTGGCCTTGGTTTGTCAGAATGTCAGTGCCCCGGTTGTCCAGCACTTGAGGCCATGGTCGATACTGTCACGGACAAGGCCCCTCGAAACACCAGTATACGACACTGGCTTGGCCCGTTTCAGTTCAAATCTTCACGTTTCTCGAGATCGGTGCCCAGAGGGGGGGGGGCTCTTTGCACGTGCGGAGCCAGTATTTCCAACATGCATCGTTGATTGACGGGTTGGCATACGCTGGAGGGACCGAACATGTAGAGGACAACGTTGCCGTGCACTGGGGTGGCCAATCCAAGCAGGAGACGAAATCATCAACGACGGGGCCCAATATCCGTAGCATCAGATCGTCAGCTGTTTCTCAATGCGGAACTTCGTAAATCCCGGGGTTTTATGTCATTGAAGATTTGGAGACGAACTACTGCGCAGCAGGCCGCGAGCTGTATGGCACTGTACGGCAACACTATTGGAAGGAAACGGGATCAGCAGCTTAGACGCGGACCTGACCTGTCGGCTGTGGCCAAGTGCAAGCAGTTCATCGACATCCTGATGCGCAATGACGAGTGGAGCGTGAATCGCGCCGCGACCTTCAGCAAGTGCACCGCTGCCGAGGTGGCCAGTGCTCCAAAAGTCAATCAACCCGTTTGCGACAAAGACATCATGAAAGCGTGGGTTGAGCAGGCAAGCCTGTCCAGCATCCGGAGCGCCCAAGGCTCCGAATGCCTTGAGGCCGTGGCCGACACGGGCACGGACGAGCTCAACCACAGGTATCAGCACTACTACGACAAGTGGTTTGCCCCGTTTCAGTTCAAGCAAGGCTCAAGCTCGTGGAGATCGGCGCCGGGAAGTGGAGCAGGGATCTCTTCGCCGCACATGTGGTGGCTAAGATGGGAAGTCTTGCGTCAGCATCGGCGCACGGAGACTGCAACCATGGTGGCTTTCAGCGGAAACACTGCCTACAACTGTCTAAACTCCGAAGACAGGACGTTCCGAGTCCGAGACTCCAGAAGCCAATAGGCTGTGCCTGGACTACTGCAGAATTCCCGACGGGACTACAGTACGATTAGGCATCACAAGTCGTGTTATGCCTCGACCCCAGGACGTTTCCAGTCTCAAGATACGGCATTTCAGCGTAGACCGTAGGACCCCAATCTGGAATCGAGTTCTTGTACAAGCGCTCTGGGGACCATGGCCACCGACTCCTCAACAATCCCATTCCCCGTTCCAACTTCATTATCTACCCGCACGGAACTCCAGTAAGCCCTTAAAGTTATTGAAGGTTCAGGGCTCGGGTTAACCTGCAGCGTTAGAGTCAACCATTTGCGTCCTCAAGCCCGTCCCGCAAGGCCTATAAGCCTAAACTTGACAAATTTATTCAACCCCCGCTGTAAAGCCTACACAGGCATGAAATTTGATCCAACCTCAATGATACGCTGACAATGCGCTCAATAAGCCTTCTGAAAGCCTGATCCCCGAACCCCAGCATCAGGAGTTGGAGCTGTATGCGGTTCTTGACTTAGGTCGGATTGGTTCTCAGTCTTTTAGGGTGTTTCAGGGTTTTGGGGGGGGCTGACGTGCCATCGTGCCTGGAGTCGGGGTTGATTTTTGGGCTAGAGACTCGAAGAGTTATGAGTTGATGCATCGCTCATAAGCCGAGGCGGTGACGCTGTTCAACTGCAGCCACATGCAAAGATTGAAGCCAGAATGCATCTACTGCATCCAGAAGGCCGAAGGCCCTTCTGCTACGAATACGAGCTTCATTCTAGGTATGCCATTGGAAGAAAATTAATGCCCAAAGCGCCAGCAACCAGAAGAGTCTATGGCATTCCAGTTCAAGGCTTAACTGTCGAAGCATCGCACACTCAAGACGGTCAATGCTAGTCCCGATGCTGCATGGTGGACTCTTGGCTCCCTCCGAGGTCTATGCTGGTTTTCCTGTGGCTCTGTCGGAGTAGCCCGCCGATCTTCACAAGCCTGTGGAGTCTGCACCATCTTTGCACGTGGGCTCGGAGGATTTTGAGATGGCGCCCACGCCCAGCCTACCCGCGTCCACAGGGCCTTCTAGGCTGATGCCCATTTCGTCAGCGAAACATTGCACCGCTTGAAGTCAGGAATCCACTGCGTGGGTCTTCGTCGATTCGTCAGTCGAACTTCAGGGTCAGGGTGTTGGGTTGGATGTAAGGTTGAACGAGCATGAGGAGTTGTAGAACGTAATATGTGGGCTTGGTCCTTGTTTGATCTTGACGTCTGAGTGTGACTGTGTCTGATATCGCTCTTCGCTCTTCGATGAAACCCGAATCAGAGTTGGCGTTGGATTCCCAGGTTCATTCCACCCGCTCAAGTCAAGCTGGTGGAAAGCTCAGAAGCCTTCACATGAAACCCGTAGCCTTTATTTCCTGCCAGACACAAAGTCCAAGACCCCGTAAACAGAAAACATAGCCGTGCTAGGCCATGTTCCCTCAGTCCTCACCCAAAAACAGGTTTTACTGCAAGTCAGAAATGGTCCAGATGCAAGGTACTTGATTGCATACATGCCGAGACCAAAGGGCCACTGCGTTGTTTCCGGCGCATCCAGTGCCGATGCTTTGGCGAGAACTTATGCCCAGGCTGTAACCATGCAGCTAGAAGTGTCCTGTACTTCCTATTGCTGTTCTTGCACAACGGTTGTTTTTTCAGATGCTTCCCCATTCACGGCTTTGGATTGCAGCTCTGTCAAGGGGCAAGTGGTCCTTTGGTCTTGAGGTTTGGTGTGCACCTGCAGCATGTCTGATCTATAGTTATGCAAAGTCTTAATATCCAGCAGCTAGCGCTTCAATGCTCGAAGCCTTGAGCCCTACTGCTGACGTAGGAATAATTAAGCGCCCGCGACTAAAGACAGCCAGCTGACGGCTCTTGACAAGTGAACTGGGACCTGATGCAGAAAATCTCCCAGAAGCTTTGTGTTGCCCGAATTAAGGCATGAAAGCATGGAGTTTTAGATTGTGGAGGCGATGCGCACAAAACCAGCTTTCCCGGCCTATCCGCCTGGCTAGCCGCGTGTCCACCCGCGGTGCGTATTGAACGACCCATGATCTGCCGGTGTGGTTGGCTGTGCTGCTTTGTGCTTTGCAGTCAGGGGGTCCTGGGTGCCGGCACGGTGTGGCACGGGTACACCGTGTGGGGATCTAGCCGCCCCGAAACGCCCTGCGACCTTCTTGCCCTTGACAGGGCGGGAGGGACGTGGTTGCTACGGAACGGTGTTGCGACCTCTCGACTCCAGTGCTTGGGACGGCTGCAGTTCCCTGGGAATTTCGGAAGAAGCCCATCAAATGTTGCAGTTACAGATGTAGATAGTCTATATGCACAGCAAAAACCTTGGATGTGACGGAAAGCTCATAGCCGCAGCCCTTACATCCAGAAGTCTTTACCACCAGTTTCAATCAGGGGAAAACCACGGAGTCTAGAGCTCCTGTTCGCTTCACACAGCGTTTCGGGCTGCAACTCCGAAGTCAGAGCCGACCCTGAGCCTCAGTTTGCAGAGTCTTGCACCAAGAAAGCTGCGGCCAAACACCCATCCCTGAAATGTACAGGGCGACACAAGGGAGTCTAGGCAGGCTGCGATTTGGTTTGGGTTTCAGGGCGTCCCTCAGAGAGACTCGGGAGTGTGCCTGTCGAGGAGATCGTCGCACTGCCTTTGAAGACGAAACTGTGGATGGTTTTTGCGATCAAGATCCCAACCATTATCATTGAGATTGCCCTCCTTATTGCTGGAATGACCCTTGGCGACACATGGGATGCTGGAGTTCAAGCCCTCAGCCCTCAACCCTAAATCTACGCCCGAGGGAAGGCAGATATGCTGTCGGAGGGTTCTAGTCATGGTGGCCTGGTAATTACCCCAGTGCGCCGTGCTTGTATCTTACGGCGTGGGCCTACATTTCAGACCGTACAGAAGAGCTTGCAGGCCTCTGGATCCAACCAAGCTTGGCAAATCCATCGACTGTTGCACATCCTTACAACTGACGACATCAAGGGTAGAAGGTGGAAAAAGCCTCACTGATCTGGCAACTTAGGCTTCGATATCAGTTGCGCCACGCCAAGCCACGATAAGCAGTCCTAAGGCAGACCTCGACCTGTAACTTGAAACCCGGCTTGCCGCAACTTCGTGCGACTGTGCTATCACGTAACCCAAGGAAGTTCCTCATGCGCCTCCAATGCAAGTCGAGGGCAGCTCGTGCCAGCGGGCACAGGGAAGATTGTTTGAGGTAGTTGGGGATCATGCGTTCCTTGTCTTGTTTTGTCATCCGCGCGCATGGGACCTCGATTACATTCAACACGAGTTCAACGTTGCCCAAAGTGCTGCCTTGAAATCTGAAATTTGGGGCAATAATCCCTTCCCCCTAATAGTAAACGCCCCCCCCCCTCCCTAATACTAAAACGCGGATCCTGGGGTTTGGTTTTAATATTAGGGGGGGGTTCGGGGCCACACACCACGACCGCTTCCCACGCAGCCGTTGCGAAACCTCTTCATTAGCCCTGCAGCCCTAGTGTAGACAGACAGCCAGCCCCGAAGAACAACTCCCCCTAAATATTAAAGCTCCAAGCCCTGAACCCCCCATTACTTTAGCCAAGCCTCTTCATTAATTAACACTGAAGCCCTTAAGCCCTTAACCCCCAAGCTCTAAAGCCTTAAACCCTAAACCTTAAACCCTAGAGCCTTAAGTATGCCCTAAACACCAAAGCCAAAAAAGCCCTA